GGGGTCATGCACTCCGTACTGCCGCGTATTTGCTGAATAGAGTTAACACCAAGGCAGTTAAATCCACACCTTATGAACTTTGGCATTCCCGGAAACCCAATTACAAACATATTAGGATATGGGGTTGTCCCGCTTATGTGAAGCGATTAGTGGGAGATAAGTTGGATAGTAAATCCGACTTGTGCTATTTTGTGGGGTATCCCGAAGACTCAATGGGATACGAGTTTTATTATGTCAAAGAAGCAAAGACGTTTGTTTCGAGAAATGCCACCTTTTTGGAAAGGGAGTTTCTATCCGATAGAAAGGGCAGCATGATAGAACTTGAAGTAGTTCAAGAACCACAAAGTGAAGTTCAAACACAAGATCAAGCAATCGAACCAATACAACAAACCACTAATATACCTCCTGAACCTACGGTACGTAGATCCGAAAGAGTTCGGAAAATACCGGACAGGTTATTCCTCCTCGAAAATGATGAAGATCATGTTGATCTTGGACGAGATCCAAGAACATACAATGAGGCCGTATCGGATGCGGACATGGGACATTGGCTAACTGCCATGAAATCCGAAATGGACTCCATGTACTCCAACAAGGTGTGGACCTTGGTAGATCCACCTAAGGGAATCGTTCCTATAGGCTGCAAGTGGATCTATAAGAAGAAAATTGGAGTGGATGGAAAGGTATCGACCTATAAAGCTAGATTGGTAGCGAAAGGTTACACTCAAAGGCAAGGCGTTGACTATGAGGAAACTTTTTCGCCAGTCGCGATGCTGAAGTCCATTAGGATTTTGCTGGCCATAGCTGCGTGGTACGACTACGAGATATGGCAAATGGATGTGAAGACCGCCTTCCTTAATGGAGATATTGAGGAAGAAATTTACATGGCGCAGCCGGAAGGCTTCATATCTTCTGGAAGTGAGCAAAAGGTTTGCAAGCTCCAGCGATCCATTTATGGATTGAAGCAAGCATCCCGTAGTTGGAACATTAGATTCGACTCAACTATCAAAGAGTTTGATTTTGAGAAGAATCCGGAGGAACCTTGTGTATACAAGAAGGTTAGTGGGAGGGCAGTGATATTTTTAGTGCTTTACGTTGATGACATTCTACTCATTGGGAATGACGTAGGAATGTTACAGCAAACGAAAGCATGGTTGTCCACACGTTTCTCAATGAAGGATTTGGGAGAAGCATCTTATGTATTGGGAATACACATCTATAGAGATAGAGCAAGAAAGATGCTTGGCTTATCCCAAAGCCTGTACATAGACACCGTTATGAAACGGTTTAGCATGGAAGAATCCAAGAAGGGATTCTTGCCAATGTCCCATGGGGTTCGTCTCTCGAAATCTATGTGTCCCCAAACACCTAGTGAAATCGAGGAGATGAAAAGGACGCCCTATGCTTCTGCCATAGGAAGCATAATGTATGGCATGCTATGTACGAGACCCGATATTGCGTATGCTGTGAGTGTCACAAGCAGATATCAGTCTAACCCCGGCCCGGCTCACTGGAAAGCCGTGAAAGATATCCTCAAGTACTTGCGAAGGACTAAGGATATATTTTTGGTCTATGGGGGTGCCGAGTTGAAATTAGAGGGTTTCACTGACTCTAGTTTTCAATCGGACGTGGATGACTCAAAGTCGAATTCTGGATTTATATTCACGCTTAATGGTGGTGCCGTGTGTTGGAAGAGTTCCAAGCAAAGCACGACGGCCGATTCCACTACCGAAGCGGAATACATTGCAGCGTCCGAAGCTGCAAAGGAAGGGACTTGGATAAGGAAGTTCATCCAAGAGTTGGGTGTCATTCTTGATGCTAGTGATCCAGTACCGTTGTACTGTGATAACACCGGAGCCGTGGCACAAGCTAAGGAGCCGCGATCTCATCAGAAGTCGAAGCATATTCTGAGGAAGTATCACGTGATCCGAGAGATCATTGATAGAGGTGAAGTTAAGGTAGAACGAGTCACCTCGGAAGAGAACGTTGCAGACCCCTTCACGAAGCCTTTACCAAGATCGGTCCATGAGAAACATCGAGAGTCGATGGGATTGCGGTTTATGGGTAGTTGGCTTTAGGTCAAGTGGGAGATTGTTAGAGTAGGTGACCAACAAGCCAACCTGTGGCTGTGGTCTTTCGTATTTATTATTGTAATAAACGAACCTTCATTCGTATTAATGATAAAACACATTGGCATTCTATATCTTTGTCCCTTTGTCACAAGCATAGATATAGTCCTTACAGTTATTACAAGTACTAGTAATTGATCGTTAGGATCGTGAGATATTTACTTAAGTATTATAACTGTTAAACGTGTTCCTAGTCGAAGGGTTACGCCACTAATGAGGATATCGGCCTTTCCCATTAAGACTAGCACTTAGTGTATGTGTACTGCATCTCATCAGTAAACGGTATTGTGATATCGGCATGCATAAGTGGGTGCTCATAAGTTGACGAGTTCACTGAACTCCCTCACCCTAGAAATCTCTAAGTGGTTCCCAATAATCGAGTAGAGATATCTATGGTATAGTTGTACACCATTAGTCCTTATGACCTAGACATCACCGTGACTTCACTAGAGGACCAGCTGTATCGTGACCCGTCCCTGAGTTCCACCGAGGACCATCCCAAGGGCCAGTGTTCGTGCAGTCCGAAATCTAGTGGGAGGTCTGTGCATTGTAGTCGGGGATTCGATCGCTAGAATAGTCTTGGATGTCCTGTGTGTTCTGAAAGTTTGTAATCATTCTAAGTCTCTGGCCAGAGCTGACTAAGTGATGATTAGAGAATTCGATTCTTTAAGTCATGCACGTAAGGATTACAACACTTGGAACGATCGCACCGTTATTGAACATATAAAGAGGTCTCGATGAACCAATGCCTCTAGTTCGATCGGGACATATGTATCGAAGGGACCGTACTGTACGTTAACTATATCTGAAGGTTCTTGCAGGCACTTCATTTGTATCTAGGGAATCATGACGCGTGGTTGCTAGACGCCAATCTTGATTCGTTGGGTGATTAAGGTGAAACGAGCTTCATCTTAATCGTAACTCGAAGGGGACGAGTTTTGACCACAAAGGGTTGTGGGCCCACGGCTAGCTTACACCTGAACCATCGAGGGTCACACTGCTCGTGCACATGAGATCTTTGAATAAACGGTCAGAGATAAAATAGTTTATCTTTGCATAATTGGAAGTCAATATGATTGAGTCCAACATTCGTAATTTGGAATTATGAATGAGAATAAGAAAAGGAAAAGAATAAGCGAACGTGTTAGTGAACTTTCTAAATCGGGAAGTTTCCAAATTTAGAAAGTCCACTGAACTAGGGTTTCCACTTTTGGAAAGTTGGAAAATAAGAGATGGCACTCGTAATGACGAGAAAATTATAATGACTCGGAAATTGTAATCGTTACAATTTTTCGGTCATTGAATTGAGAGATACGAGCGATTAAAGAAACTAACGAGCTTAAGCTGTTAAGCCCGCTAGGGTTTCATGCAAGGGACTATAAATATATGATTTATAACCCTAGCACAAAACAAGAAAACCCTAACCCTAAGCGGCCACCCTCTCTCTCTCGCCCTCTCTTCCGCGCGGCCACCAACGCACCGCCGTCGCCGCTCCGTCGCCGGAAACCACCGTTCCTCGGCCGGTTTTTGTTCGGTATTCTTTCGGTATTCTTTCTCCTTTATTTTCTTTCCGTTTTATTCTAACTACTTCGTGTCTAGTGCCACGATTTAGTAGATCAAATCCGAGAGGAGGAAGACTGTAGATCGAAGAATCGAGGAGCAACGCACGAGCCGAAGCCGCACGCTGCCCCACGCGCCGCCCCGAAGCCGCGCGTACGCTACACGCGCCGCCGCGACCTCACGCGCCGCTGCTGCCCACGCACCGCTGCTGCCCCGATTCTACGGATTGGTTTCCGTAGTAATCACGACGTATCGTTCGCTCCTACCTCACGCGTCAAGAGGTAAATACACGAAACCCTAGTTTCGTTTTAGGGTTTAATTTAAACTACGATTTCATGCTTGTGTTTGTATGATTTTATGTGATTATGTGTAATCGATTAAATCGTTGCGAGCATGTTATTTGGTTTAAATTGCGAGCATGTTAATTGATTTAAGTTCGGTTAAATTTATTAGCATGTATGTTGTTTTTAATTTCGCTGGAAGCGCAAAGGTACGCAATTAATTGATTTAGTTCTTCGGGCATGTAACTGTGTGCTTTAAAGTCGTTTAAATCACGTAAAATTTTTGTTTTCCGCTGCGTATGCGTGCCCGAAACCCAACACTCGAATCATGGTTGGGGTGGTGGCGAGAGAGATAGCTTGCGATTGAGGGTAATAAATCGAGCAAGAGAGAGAGAGAGAGAGAGAGAGAGAGAGAGAGAGAGAGAGAGAGAGAGAGAGAGAGAGAGAGAGAGAGAGAGAGAGAGAGAGAGAGAGAGAGAGAGAGAGTAGAATAAAGAAGAAAAATAGATCTGGGAGAGAAACGTGAATGCGTGGGTTATAAAATTTAGGGTATAAGGGCAAGATAGGGATTAAAAAAATTAAAGATGCGGGTCATATATTATTTCAAACTAAGAATTTAATTAAAAAATTGGATTTAGACTTGTTATTTAGTTCTAATTAAGTTTCATATAAGGGGCTCGTAGTATATTACTCCGTTTCTCTAAAGTGCTATATATTATACCTAATTTGTCATTAATACTATTTTTATTTTAGATTTGCCCTAATATTCTCTTTCCCCACTAATCCTCCGCCCACCTTCTTTGTTATCTTATTTTCTTTCATCCTCTAGCTGCACCATATTTACTCTATTTTCTGTCTCGTGTTGACTAAAATCCATGGTGCAACAAGAACCACTTCTACCTCCGCCACCACCACCAACCCTTGAAAATCATAGTAGGAGCCGACGATTTAGGGAATAGCCTCAAGGATGCTTTTGTAACGCCGATCCGCTTCTTCAATATCGAAGTCGAAGACCTTGGCTTCACCAATACTACTCCATCGGCGAAGAAATCGGCCGCCGCATCATCAAATCAAAGAAAATCGATTCCTCCATCAAAATATGTGGTCTCGTTTCCCCGGCGTCTACGCCGGCCCTCACCCCCGGCGACACCCGAAATGCTAAATCCATCGTCAACTTCAATGCCCTCGTAGTTTCCGGCATTTCCGCCACTCCGAAAGCCGCAACATAGATCCATCCCATGGCCGGAGGTGATCCAGAATCTGTCCACGGATCTGCAATTTTTTTTAGTAACACGGATCTGCAATTGTAATGTATAGACGCGGAACGAATTATAGTTTATTATAGTAGTTTCTCCTAAATTGGGGTATTTTATTTTGTAGTTGATAGTTGATTTCGATAACTTGTACTCCCTCCGTTCCATAATATCTGTCTCTTTTGAGAATTTTTTTTGTTCCATATTGTCTGTCACTTTACAATTCTAATGCTGCATTAATTGCTTGTTTTTCAATTTTACCCTTATTAACTCTATATTAATTACTCTTCCTGCATTAATTAATAAACAAGGGTATTTTGGTCAATTAATATCTATTTTCCTTAAATCAAGACATATTTATTGAGATTCTTAAGATTTGTGCCAAGGTGAAAAACGACACCTATTTAGGAACGGAGGAAGTAGTTGTTTTCGGTTTTTTATAGTTGTTTTCAACAATTTTAAAGTTGATTTCCACAATTTTTTAGTTGATTTTCATAAATTTGTAGTGACTTTTATTTTTAGTAAACCTACTATTTTGAAAACAACTATTTTTTGTAGTTGTTTTACAATTTTCTTAGAGTTGATTTTAGGCAAAAAGAAAAAAATATTATTTAAAAAAAACATCAAAAAACTGAATTAGAAAGAAGTAAAAAAAACTATATTTAATTTCGGAAATTTTCAGTTGATTATGAAAATAAAAATCCGAAATAGATATTCTTAAAAAAATAATTTTTGTATCTATAATTATATAAGATTATAGAGAAAAAATATAAATAAGGATTAAGACATGCATTTACAAAAACTTTGGGGGGCCAAAATAATAATTCAAAAAGTATAAGTGCAAAATAGCTAAAAAAAAATTATTTATTTATTTTGGGGGTCAACAGCCCCCCGCCCCTCTATAGTGCCGCCAATGGACTCGTGAGGGAGGGGGTTATGGCAGCAGCCATGGTGGAGGCGGTTAAGGTGGTGACGATGGCTACTCTTCGCGTGACGGTGGCGGTTCTGAAGAAAATAAAAACACAAAGTTTTGTGTACTCTTTCACCTAATTCACCTTCGCTCCTCATACTCAAGCTTTCTAGGCTCTCATCTTTGCTGATACAAAAAAGAATTTCTAAAAGAATTTCTTGCACATTATAGTTTTGAGATACTGTAACCCGAGCTCGACTATCAAATTGATGCATAATCAGTGGCTTAGCATAAGCATTTCTAGGCAGAGTAGTCTTACCAATGCCACCCATGCCAACAATCGCGATTATGCAGAGATTAGATTGTTGTCTAGTGAGCTTATCCATGACTTCAATTAAGAGTTCATCAAAACCAACCAGGGCATTCTGCCTCGTCGAAGGAGAGCTTGACAAACCTATTGATGGTTCACAAGGGTGAGCTGTTACAATTATGATAATCGATATCTCGTATATGATTCTTTTGCCACCAAGAAAGGGAAGAAAAAGAAATTTGAATGAAAAAAATTGTTCCAAAAGCGAAAATTATTGGATGGGAATTGGTGGAATTAGGAAATTAGGTCCCAATTTCCACCGCTTCATTAATTAATTATGCCGTGTTCATGTCGTAGATAGATCTCTCGTTCTTTCTCTGTCCTCTTAATCACATGCACGCACACACCAATTCGATGTATGCATTTTATTTTAAAAAGGATATATGATTATTAGATCTCGGAAATAAGGGTTTATATGATTTTTTTGCGGATTAAATTTCTCGACGCGTGGAGTGGCGTCAGCAACTTTTATTTGTTGGTAGGGATATATTTGCCGAGGGTGATAGTGATGAAGACATGCCACATGCTGTTAGTGTCACGCCAGAAGATGAGGCCTCCATCGAAAGAGTACGTAAAACATTTTATCTATATTTAATAATAATAGTAATAATTAATAATACCCTTTATTCAAAAGAGTAACTTTTATTTGATCTATAGATGGAGGCCATGGGTTTCGAAAGGGCTCTTGTTATTGAGGCATTTTTGGCGTGTGATCGCAACGAAGAATTAGCAGTCAACTATCTATTGGAGAATGCTGCTGATTACGAAGATTGAAACGTTTGACTATATGATAGATTTTCTTGGTACACATGTTTAAATGAGTTTTTATATATCATCAAAAAGAGAAGAATTTTATTCTCTGATCGTGGTCGGACCAAATTGTAATAACAATCAAATCGATCAAGTATAGTTCGGTTTTTTACATTTTAGTCTTGCAGAAAAGTCCCTTGTCTCGATAAATCAATTAAAGTGAAGCACAAGTTCAAAATCATTTAAGATATAAATAAAGGCAAAATAGTTACAATACTCGAGTCTCGACTCAATTTGTTTACATATAATAAATAACACGAACATTTGAAGAAAATTCAATCTATGATGGCGGGCTAAATATTAAACTACAGTACAACCATGAATCTTTTGGGTATTTGTGGAAACGGCCCAAAACATATTATTTTTTTCCATTTCTTAAACGTAACAGGACTCCGAAACGCCGAAACTCTTGTCCCTAAAAGAAGACTGATGTAAATCAACGAAGATTCAAGTTTCAAGAGTGTTGTTTATCCTCTGGGAAAACTCGAACTCGAAGGCCTACATTGCCAAGATCCTTTTGTTCATCCAGTATTTCTTTAGCAGAAACGACAGCTGACTGACTACAATAATTCAACACAATTGATCCAAGCATTGGTATTTCTCCAATACATGAAGGGATCTCTTTCAACTTATTCAATCTCAGAAGTTCAAGTTGCTCAAGGCGTGGAAAGTGGTTACTGTCTGTTGTCCACCACTCCAGGTCAGTGCTCATGCTGATTAGCAAGAATCTAAGGTTGCAGAATTGCCCTTCAACTGTTTCCCGCTCCGCTCTCACAAAGGAGTTGTACTTCAGTTTGAGGACTTCAAGATTAGGTAACCAACCTATCTTCCTATCCATTCTTCATGTCTTCCCATTTGAGATGGGTCCCACCCAAAGTCAACTTCTAGATGGAATTGGGGATGATGAAATTCTGCAGCATATCATTCCGGTTTGGCTTACTCCAGCTATCAAAGTAGCAGGTAAAGGATTCGAGTTTCTCTAGATGGGCAAGATTGTTGAGACAGTAGTAACTGAAAGATATCCCTCAATTTCCTCACCTCTATAAAATATTTTTAATCTGTTGATATTGGGGATTCTCTTTACCACCTCTTCTCCACATTTGAAATTTAATATTAGTGAGAGCGTCTGTAGGTTCCCCAAAACAAACTCGTCATCTTGCCGACCAAGAGGAGGATCGTGCATTTCAAGTCCACTAGAGAACTGAACATGCCTAAGTTGAGTCATCTTCCATATTTCAGAGGGCGCAACAACGACGCCAACCAGACTCTCTACAATTAGAGCCTGTAGATTCCAAAGGAGATACACTGAAGATGGAAACTTGCAGAGATTTTCATCCCGAAAATCTTCAACAGCAAGGTACCAGGAGTTAACTAGCTGAAAAACATCTTCTAGGGTATACATACAATGTATGTTTTGTCCATCAAAATTTAAATATGTATCAACTGCTCTCAGAATCCTCAACAATCTACAATGATCAAGTGATGGTAGAACTCCTTCAAATTTGAAAAACAAAGAACGGGCAAGGGGCACATATTGCAATGCATGAAGAGCTGCAGGGAGATATTTCTTCTGTGTTGTGCTATGATGAATACAAATGCGGCGTTGGGTATTTATAATGCCTTGTGGATTGTTGAGGTCATGTTGTCTTCTGACATAGAGGAACTTCTCTTTCTCAGCTTCCCTTAAGCATAGTTCCCTCACGAGATCATGGATCGTGCAGAACTTTATCCCCCCATTCGTACCCCTTTGATGAGCTCTAATGAGATTTCTGTCACAAAGGTCCTTCAAATACTCTCTTGAAACCACTTCCAAGCTCTTGCCCCTAATTGGTTTCAAAAATCCTTCAGAAACCCATTATTTTACGAGCCTGGAGACACGGATTTTACTGTCTTCAGGAAAAACTCCCATGTACAGAAATCATGGATTCAAATGTACTGGCAAATGGTGATAACTCAAAAGCAATACTTTTAAGCAACGCTCGTTGTCTTCCAAGTTTACAATTGAGTTTAATTTTTATGAAAAATATTCCCAGTTTTCTCTTATGGGGTTCGACTTCGCTAGAAGTCCTCCAATCACAACGATTGACAAAGGAAGCCCCTTGCAATTTTTGGCAATCTTCTTTCCTATTTCCTCCAATTCAACAGGGCAATCTTCTTCTTTTCCAAATATACTTCCGTACAGTAGATCCCAACTTTTATCAACATCTAAGAGATCCATCACGAGGCCATGAGAGCCAATCAACTGAAAAACAATGTTTGATAGCCTAGTGGTTATCATTACTCTACTTCCTTGACCATTGTCCGGAAAGAATAGTTGCACTTTATCCCACACCTCAACACTCCAAATATCATCCATTACAATCAAATATCTCTTTCTCCATAAACTCTTGTGTACTCTTTCACCTAATTCACTTTCACTCATCCCACTCAAGATTTTCCAGCTCTTGCTTTGCTTGCACAAAGAAGAATTTCTACAAGAATTTCTCGCACATTGTAAGTTTGAGATATTGTAACCCAAGACCGGATATCAAATTGTTCCGTGATAAGTGGATTCCTGTATGCATTTATAGCAAGAGTAGTCTTACCGATGCCGCCCATGCCAACAATCGGAATTAGGCGAAGATTAGATTGTTGTCCGGTGCGCTTATCCATTACTTCAATTAATTGATCATCAAGACCAACCACGGCGATTTGCTTCGTTGTTAAAGGAGAGCTTGATGAACCACCACGCGTCGACGAATTTAAGTCCAGACGATCTTCGATTATTCCAATATTCTTCTCCTTAATTTTCATCACATCTTTCTTGATAAAATCTATGTCTTGGATAACCTTCTCCAGATCCTGATACAACTCATCGGAGCTCATTCTTGGATTACACACACACATCCGAAAACACACACACACACACAAACATACATATATATATATATATATATATATATATATATATATATATATATATATATATATATATATATATATATATATATATATATATATATATATATATATATATATATATATATATATATATATTGATGATGCTAAAGTTAGATCACATTAGATAGTTGAAGTAGGATGAGCTGGAAGAGCAGAGTAGATCACTGGCTCACGAGCTTGATGACCTTGAGATACCTGCGATCATAGAACACGTGAACTAGGCCGGGGGTTGATAGGGCGGAAACCCCTCCGACGCTCAAGTCACACGTGCGGATAGTGAAAATAGTCCAGAAAACACAATTGGTAGTATTGCTCAGATAATAGGACATCCCTTAAGGAATGAGTTCAAAACTTTATTTATAGCTTAGTTGAGATTGTCGGGCTCAAACCTTACTTGAAGGTGGTTGGGCCTCGGTGATAGTTGTCTTAAATATTGGGTTCGTGGTCCAGGTAAAAGTATTGTAAGTGCATTGGGTTGGCCCAATTATGCATAAGCCCCCCACTCTCGAGTCGATGTGGGGGCCATGTTGAAATGGGTGTCAGATCGTGTCGAGAGTAGAAATTTTAGAAGTCGGTCGTTGGCATATGGCCTAATGGTGTGCGAAAACGCATTGGAGCGTGTGCCAGAGGGGCGTGAAGGCGCGTTGGCGCGTAGCGCGACCAAGTTGCATTGTCGCTATGTAAGTTACTTGAGTCGTCGGTGTTGTCCCGCGACGATGTAGTAGCTCGGATCTAATTATCTCCTTGTGGGAGTTGTCTCGTCGCGGGGTAATAGAGTTGATCGAGTTATCTCCTCGTGAGAGTTATCTCGCGATAATGTAGTAGCAGGGAGCGAATATTCTCCTCATGTGAGTTGTTATTTAGCGACATTGTCAATGTTTTGACGTGTTGCTTGTATGTGTTTACATATAGCCTTGCGCTTGATGTACTTGAGAAGGGGGATCAGGCTCTCAAGATTTATTTTAGGGGGATTGTGCCCCTTGTTAGACCTCGTGGGTCGTAAGTAAGTTTGGACCGTGGCCACGTTTTAATGAAGGACCCGTCGAAAACAAGTAGATAAATTTGAGTAATCAAGCTGGCCAGGATATATAGATTCCCATAATATCTCTAAGAGTTCCTAGGGTAGTAATCGTGCTAACATGAGCTTGCGATTATGTAGTGAATTGTGGGCGAGTTGACTCCTCATGGGAGTTGTCTCGCAGCGAAGCTGTTGGAGCGTTGGATGACGCGCGACTGAGGAGTGTGCGGATTGAGGTCGCTCTGAGTGAGTTGTAGTAGCGAGTGAGTTGGCTCCTCGTGGGAGTTGTCTCGCTGCGGGTTGTAATACCGAGCGAGTTGGCTCCTCGTGGGAGTTGTCTCGCAACAGAGTTGTAGGAGCATCGGATGACGCGCGACTGAGGAGCGTGCGGATTGAGGTCGCTCTGAGCGAGTTGTAGTAGCGAATGAGTTGGCTCCTCGTAGGAGTTGTCTCGCTGCGGGTTGTAATACCGAGCGAGTTGGCTCATCGTGGGAGTTGTCTCGCTGCGGGTTGTAGGACTGAGGGAGTTGTCTCGTAGCGGGATGTAGGACGGAGCTAGTGGTCTCCTCGTGGGAGTTATTTCGCTGTGGTTTCGTAGACCTGAGGGAGTTGGCTACTCATTGGAGTTGTCTTGCAACAGATTTGTAGTGCCGAGCGAGTTGGCTCCTCGTGGGAGTTGTCTCGCAACGGGTTGTAGGACGGAGCGAGTGGTCTCCTCGTGGGAGTTATTTCGCTGTGGTTTCGTAGACCCGAGGGAGTTGGCTCCTCGTGGGAGTTGTCTTGCGCGGGTCGTAGTACCGAGCGAGTTGGCTCCTCGTGGGAGTTGTCTCGCTGCAGATTCGTAGTACCGAGCGAGTTGGCTCCTCGTGGGAGTTATCTCGCAACGGGTTGTATGGCCGAGAGAGTTGTCTCCTCGTGGGAGTTATCTCGCAAGCCCCTCACTCTCGATTCGATGTGGGATTCAAGTCGAAAAGATCGCGTCGAGAGTAGATCGGTGTTGTGGTGTATCGTTAATTGTTGGCGAGGCGCGAAAAGAAAATGATAATTTTTATTTATCCGTTAGAGAGTGCACGCGATTTAGTGAAGCGTGTTGAAAATCTCGCGCAATTCGGTAAAGCGAGGAGAAATTAGTAGGTGATTTGGTGGTGTGCAATGCAAGTTGCGCGCGACTAGATGAGTGAAGAAGGGGGCCGCGCGCGCGATTTGATGTGGTATAGGGTTGCGCGCGCGATGTGATGGTGGCTGGTGTTTGACGCCATGGAGAATGATGTGATGGTGGCAGCTAGCCACGTGCTGCTCTTTTTATTTTACGTTTTCTTTTTTCTTTTTTTTTCTTTTTTTTTTTTTTATTTCTTATCACAGCGTGCGCGCTTTCCCATGAGTGCGTGGCAGTCACGCGCGCGTGCTATGCACGCGCTCCTCCATTCCTTTTTTTTTCTTCTTTTTTTCCTTTTTTTCTGACGCGCGTCAGCCGAGACGCGCGGCGCCCCTCGCGCGCGTGCCGTGCACCCGCTGACAGCTTTTTTTTTTCTTTGACGCGCGCGCGCTTTTTGGGCCGCGCGACTGGCACATGGTCTCACGCGTGCGTGCTGTGCACGCGATTTTCCTTTTTTTTTTTTTTTTTTCCTTCTTCTTGTTTTTTTTTTCTTCTTTTTCTTTCTTCTCCATCTTCTTCTTTTTTCTTCTTTTTTTTTTTTCTTTTTTCTTCATCTTCTTCTCCTTTTTCTTTATTTTTTTTTAGGTCGTTGATGTTCACCCCTTGGGGATGTTCTATTTTTTGAGTAGGGAGATTATACTCGTCTCTTGAGATGGGATGTACACACACTTGGGGTTGAAATGTGAGGGTGATGCCCAACCTTGGGATGGGATAGCCCCCCACTTTAGGATGAGGCGCTCGAGACCTATGGTCTGAGGTGGATGCGCACGGTTATGCCATTGCTTCAGTGGCAACACGAGTTGAAGTTTTCGCAGTCGTACCCTGAAGGTCTTTATCGGTTATCTGAACCGTTAGAGGAGCAAGTAAAAGTTGACATACATTGAAGATCTTCTTCGGTTATCTGAACCGTTCGAGGGGGGGCGGAGGTAGGCCCTCAGGGAGTCGATAACTTATGGCGAACGAAATATTTTGGGGGCACTGTAAACCCCCAGGGAGTCGATAACCCTTGGCAAACGAAATGTTTTGGGGGCACTGTAAACCCCCAGGGAGTCGATAACTCTTGGCAAACGAAATGTTTCGGGGGCACTGTAAACCCCCAGGGAGTCGATAACCCTTGGCGAACAAAATGTTTAAGGGGAACAGTAAACCCCCAGGGAGTCGATAACCCTTGGCGAACAAAATGTTTTGGGGGAGAAGTAACCCCAAGGGAGTCGATAACCCTTGGCGAGCGAAATGTTTTGGGGGCAGAGGTAAGCCCCCAGGGAGTCGATAACCCTTGCTAGCGTTGAAGGACCTCCTCGGTTGTCTGAACCGATCGAGGGGCGGAAAGAAGTGAATTATGTTGAGGATCTAGTGGAACATCCGAAGAAGGTCTCGTGGTGGATACCGATCACGAGGAGGAGGAAGTGGCAAGCTAGAGCCTCCACGAGGTGGGAGGTCGTTAGCAGTGTCACATTCCCCCTGGGAAAATGTCTCAAGGCCATCGTGCGCGCTACGTGATTATGTCTGCCTTCCCACAGACGGTGCCAAAATGATGCTAAAGTTAGACCACCTTAGATAGTTTAAGTAGGATGAGCTGGAAGAGTAGAGTGGATCACTGGCTCACGAGCTTATGACCTTGAGATACCTGCGATCATAGAACACGTGAACTAGGCCGGGGGTTGATCCGGCGGAAACCCCTCCGACGCTCAAGTCACACGTGCGGACAGTGAAAATAGTCCAGAGAACACAGTTGGTAGTATTGCTCAGATAATAGGACGTCCCTTAATGAGTGAGTTCAAACCTTTATTTGTAGCTTAGTTGAGATTGTCGGGCTCAAACCTTACTTGAAGGTGGTTGGGCCTCGGTGATAGTTGTCTTAAATATTGGGTCCGTGGCCCATTACATAAAGGAATTGTAAGTCCATTGGGTTGGCCCAATTATGCATATCTCTCTCACACACACACACACACATATATATATATATATATATATATATATATATATATATATATATATGTGTGTGTGTGTGCGCGCGCGCGCACGCGCGCGAGGATGCATGTATTATAAGGCATTTAGGAAACTTAGCATTTAAATATCACAAAATTAATTAACTTAAGCACACAATTATAAAAATAAAGTTGGCACATAATATTCTATAATTAAATTTTTAGCACATAAAGCACATAATTATATTTTAATCGGTATATAATAATTATTAATCTAAGCAAATAAAGCACTGAAAGCAATTAAGTTAGTAAGG